TGATGACCCAAGAAGACCTTCCAGTCCTGTTTTCCCATGAGAATTCGAGTACCTGCCAGCGGAGCTGCTCAGCATGATTTGGATGAGATTTGAAGTGGCCTGCTTTAGTTAAACCCAATAGAAGCTTGTCTCTAAAAAATTTGGATGCCCTGGAGCCTGTCCTTTTATACCACTTCCACATCTTTGGAAGCCTTAATGGATATTTCTTCTGTTTTAACAAGGCCCATGACTGTGATACATTGAAACTTGGAAATGTCACGTTCCTGGAAAATAGCAGTTTTTTCCTTCCCTGCGTTCTTTTACTACAAGTCAGTGTAGGATTGTTCCCTGAAGAGATGTTCTGAGAAAGTGCCGCTAAACCTCCATCAGGTTAAAATCTGTGGAATTCCAAACCGAGAAGATGACAAAAAAAAGTGAGTAGGTCTCTTTTACCACCATTTCAATCTTTAACAACCAAAGTTTGCTGGTAAAATGGCATATCACCAAAGCAATTCTGACAGTCAGGTCTCTGCAGCAAGGCAAGAGAGAAAGAAATCTAGCTACAGGGAACATGAGCAAATTGTAATTGCTTACAATTTCCACTTCAGCATGTCTTTCCACAGCAGTCTCCCTTCCTACTACTGAGACATTGTCCTGAGCACCACCAATGCAACCTGGATGTGAACAAATATCTGAGAAGGAAAAGAGTGAGATGGATGAAAGGCCAGTTAGCATGCATCCTGGCCTGACAGATGTCCAAGAGAGAGGTTTGAGATGGGGATGGATTGAGTTAGGAAGAGGAGCAAGTACAAGTACATGTGATGCTTAGTCTGTGAGGGGAATTTCATGGTAATTTCCTGCCCCAAATCACCCTCCTAATTGACAGACCCTAAGTACCACAAGGAGTCATTGGGTGCCATGTAGCTATCCAACAATTAGTTATGGCTCTAATCCCACAGTTAGGTAAAATCACTTTGTATGTGCTTGCAAGATTACATCTGCCCCATTAATTGTTTTCATTCCTGTATATTTTTGAAATATTAAGAATGAAGCAAAAGCATGTGATAAATATTTAATTCTGATTAGCTTTCTTTGCTGCATCTTTGCTTTGTTAGCATTGTTGCCTTTAGTTTGGTGTATGCAGTCAAGCAAACAGAAAGAAAAAAAGAAAAAAAAAAAGGTAGCTGTGATGTAGAGTGTATAAATGTTTAAGACAGGGCTGCTGGTTGGATTGTGTGGTCTTCAGTATGGGGACTTTGTTTCTATATAAAACTGTTTCCTAGAGCCAGTTGTGGAGTATTATCACTTTTGCATTATGATCTCTAACTGAGGAATGCTCTTACGGGGTAGAAGCCTGCCCTGAAGGAATCCTTTGGCTGGCCAGCCATGCAGATGTACCAGGAGGTTCACAGGCAAGGGATTGCCCCACCTGGGATGTTGTGGTCAGCACAGGCTATGAAGAAGTTTAATAATATGGAGCAAGATGATCGTCTTCAATTGTCCTCAGCATAAGAAAATGTTTCTGGGCACATTTAATTTATTAGTGTGGGAGTAGCCATAAAGTCCTGTCTTACCCAATACTGATACATTTCCATCACCGCAGATTTCTCAGCAGATCACAGCTGAGCTTGAAAGAGGTTTATGGTAATGTGTCAGGTTTTCTCTTTAAATGAAATGGATACAGGGGACTATCACTGTCTCTTGTGGTAAAATCACAAGTAATAGCAAAATAGCTAGACATCTACCAGGCCTAGGTAAAAGTGGATTGATTTTTTACATTTCAAGAGCTCGGACAGAAGAAGTGTATTAGGATGGTAAAAGAAGGCCTTCAGATGAGACTTGTATTTCTGCCTGAAATGAAGGGACCATCACCGAGGGAATCTACATCAAGACTCTGGCCTTTTTAGGAGACATGAAGCATTACCCAAGGGTGTTACAAGACCATGAAGCTTTTTATAGGGTGATTAAAGATTGCTTTGCCCCAAAGGAATAAGACCTCATTCATTAATATTTTCTGTGCCAATAAATGAATGAAAACGGAACACTGATGACTTATGATAGTGCATTTCCAGCTGTCTACTTATCTGCTTTTCAAATTATACACAAATCTAAAATTACTGAAGCCCCATTTTCAATGATTTTTATCGTCTATCCCTAGAGAAATGTACAACTCAAAAGTTGCAAACACTCTTGCTGTCCTGAATCAAGTAATTATTTTTGTATTTAATGACAAACATGCTCTTATTCATCGGGACCACTGAAGACTTCTGCTCTGTGAATAAAGGTTAATCTCCTTAGAGGGAAATGTAGTTTTTATATTGCAATTGTACAGCTGATGATTAATATAAATGAACTGGAATGTTAAAATATTGCGTGCCTTCTAATTGCAAATACTAGGTTACAGCTGCTTGCTGGAAATTAAAACAAGTTTGGGGAGGACATGTTACAAGTCCAAGTTACAACATTTTAGTCTCTTTCTCTTTTTTTTTTTTTTTTTTTTTTTTTTATCTCAGAGACCATCATAGGGATCTCTGAACCTTAAGTGCTCTTCATAGCACTCTGAAGCTTTGTAAGCTTTAACCACCATCAGGTGCTCTCATTGAGGCAACATTTAGCCCATCAATTCCTCTTCCTACAAAACCGAAGGAAGCGGGGATAAGATACAGCTGTATAAAACTGGGGAAGAACAGTGCTTTGCAAGGAGATGTGCATCCAACAAGAAGTTCAGCTTGTCTCAAGTCTTGAAGGAGCTCTGCTGGCCCCTACACTCCCCTGTGTTTGTGTCCCGGATGCTGTTGCTCACCTTATCTGCTCTTTCAGCAGCTCACAACATTCTGGAAATGTGCATTTATGTTTTGGTGACATCAGCTGAGAAGGCCACTAGATAAACAAGTGAGAATAGGCATGTCAGGAATGGTCAGCATCAGGACAGGCAAAATCTGCAAAGCAGCGAGTGAGTGGGGTGCGTGCAGGACACCACAGCAGAGGGAAACTTGACCGAAAGCTGCAGGAGGCTTGATAGAGCTGGGGCAATACAGGACATGGGGGATGGAGAACTAGAAAGAGTCCAAAAGGAGCCAGGGAGCCCAAGGAAACAGGAACAAGGAATAAAAGTGTCATTTAAGGCTGTCTCATCAACTTGGACACCTATTTAAATGAGGCAATTTTTCTTCCTCGAGAAACATGCAGCTTTGCAGAGGAGCAGCCCAGAACACATGAATAAGCACATTTCAGGACACAAGTGAAACAGAGTTGAAACAAGTGTCAGCATATTACCATCCTTTTTGCTTCCACTGATGTATCCTTATGGCTGGCAGCAGGTACATTTAGTGATACCAGAGAATCCAAACCTCAGAGGAACGTAGCCAAACCACAACACTTTCCCCAGCTTCTCCCTTTGTATTTTTCCTGCCAGCTACCACCACAGTTCTTGTGTCCCAGAACATTTTTTTCTGGTTTTATGTCCCATTATCCATCCTTGCTTGAACACTGTCCAGGAAGCAGAGCACTCAGGTAGTTGATGCTTCTGAGCAAACATCTGGCCACATCTACTCAAGTATTAAACACCCATAAGAGGAATGAAAGGCCCACCAGAAACAGATGGCGTCATGTGATGAATCAAAAAGATAAATCCTGACACAAGCCATCAATCAGTCCAGTTGTGTCTGATGACTCCTAGCAGAGATGGAAACCCTGAAAAAGAAAAGCCTGTTGCCTTAGACTCCAGGCTTTGAAAATTCAGTGCCCACATAAACAATTATTGTTTATGTTGTCAGGCAGATGTATCCCACTCTCATGTTTAACACTAGAGGATGGTGCTGAAAAGTCTGGGGAAATTAAACTCAGGATATTTTTGATAAACCACAAAAACTGATGGGTTTCAAAAATATAATTGTATGGCAGAATAAGTAGAGACCATTCCAGGCTGGGAAGTGTAAGACTGCTTTCCCAAGAGAGATATGGAAAATACACCTGGGAACAGATGGGAGGAGAAACTACTTTCCAAAGGTTCTCCTAAAAAGTAATCTCTTTCCTAATGTCACTACAGATTTATGAGTTAGTGCATCCTGCCACAGGCTCAGTTGTTTTTTTCTGAAGAGTTAAATCCTGGAACTTGGTGACTAAATCTGAGCAAGCATCTTGTACTAGGGGACAAGTGTGGTCAGTTCGTATTTTCAAGGTACTATTTAATGTCCATGTTGAATATATATATAAATCTGCTAACTTTTTCCTCGAAACATCCATTCACAGAAAGGTACATATTTTAAAGTGTAAGGGGCTATAATCCTAACAAAAGTGTTTGTACAGAAGAAGAGTCAGATTTTACTTCTGATGAAGTTCAAAGGAGGCTGAAAACAAAAAACTGGACCAGGGCTCTTTTTTTTATTTATGAAATAAGAAATTTCCCAGAGCAGCAATCCAAACCAGATTCATTGGTTTCCTGTGACAGGTATTGATTGGCCTTTGGTACAGATTTTTATCAATAGAATTTTGAGGTATCTCTTCTTGATCTATAAATGGTCTAGGATGTATCACAGAGGAATAAAGTCCCTTAATGCTATCCTCTTTTGTAGGTATGTACGTAAGGGAATATGAAACTATCTCCCATTCACCTTCATGGATGGGAGACATTAGAAATGCGGAGGAAGAAAACTGTTAATATGTTAGTTCAATAAACACAACCCCTTGGAAAACATCTTTATGCTCTTTGTACTATTTGTATTTCCAAATCAAATATATTGACTCCCCTATATGAAACACTGAGTAGACAATATTTTTAATAGGATCCACCATATATGTATATAATTTGTGAGGCATATATGAGTGAATTGTCTGTTGAGATTTGGGTTAGTCCAGGGATTGAAGTGGAGCTGAGTTTCCAAATAATAAAAAATAAAAATAAGAATTGTTACCTTGTTAGTATAGTAGGCATCAGTATGGTAAAACACTGCCTATTTTTGTACTATCTCTGTGCTTGGTTAATTGTGTAAGTAGGATTTTTGTCAGTGGTTAAGTGGCTAATAGCAGGGTAGTTATTAAAAATCTAGAAGACACTGAGTGAAATTTAGTTGGACAAGAGTGTGCAAACGTAGTTACAACTCAATGTGTCTCTTCATATTAGTGTCACTGTGCAAGTTGTCTGGATGTCATTGAAAGGGTAACGACAACAGAGTTCGACCTTGCATGCACTGGGGCAAGGACAAGGTTTTAATGTTAAAATAGGCCAGGTGGTACAAATTTAGTACATTATTAATTACTCATAACATCTTATGCTTGTATTTAAAACAGTCAGTTAAAAATATTAATTATTTCTCCCCACCAAAACTGCACCAGTGAGTGGTTCATTCTAACAGTTGCCTCTAGAAATAGCTTGTTAAAAGTGATATGTGAAACGATCAGGTAGTCATGACAGGCTTAACCTTCGTAGGAAGTGTGTGGTATTTAAAAGACACTGGAATTGATCTTTTCCACGTGCAGAACATGTTCCTATCTGCGTTTCTCCACCTAGCACTTGTAAGGCAAGTGGATCACTGTCGTATTTTCTCAGGAAATGAGTATATGCTAATTGATTTTAGGGTCTGGACTGAAGGATATTGTTAAAAATATTGGTATTTTCCATGCTGAATTTTTGTGGAGGTGAAAAATGCATTTATATTTGTCTTCAGGTATGGAGCTATGATCGTTTGTTGTATCTGATCAACTAAAGTCATCGTCGTGCTCCTTGTGCTACCAACTTCTTCATACGGTTGTTTCTTCCAGAAGGACATCCATGTCCCTTCTGCTCTCCTGTAACCTCCTGTCCCACATTTAGCTGTGATGCCATCCCATTTCTGGGAGCTTCAGCAAGTGCAAAATGCCTTGCCTTTGAAAACACAGGCAGGTGGCTACATCTATAAACTGGCCAGGGCATGAACTCCAACGTTACGAGTGTCCCTCCTCCGTCTTGGTTGGCACATTCCTTGGCCACCCTGTCCCAGCGGGTGCCTGGGCATTCAGGGGACAGCCCAGGGTGGGCAGCAGCCAGGGAGCAGTTCTGCCTGGGGGTAGAGTGGGGCCGGGAGGTCAGCTGCCTACCCTCAGGGCAGGGGAACAGGCCTTGGCTTGCCTTTATTTACTACCGCAGCTGTAATTTTTAGCTCACCCAACCGACTAGCTGTCTGGCTCTCCGTTCCTTTCTTCTCTCCAGCAGACTGGCAGTGAGCACAAACTCATAAAAATGCTCTTATGGATAGCTCACACCACTGACTTTCTCCTTTGCTTCCCTGATTTTACATCCATCTTGAGAAAAAAAAATAAATAAAAATTGAGTGGCCCCAGTTGCTGGGATTTCATCCAGGCACACAAAATACAATTAATAAATAAAATCGCTTTCAAATTTCCGCATCAGTAAAGCACCTTTTGTATTTCCTGACATAAGAAGGCTGTCGAAGATGAGGTCATCATGTCTGGAAAGAGCAGTTTGCTTTGATCATGTGGTAGAGCACAGACTAGATTTGAAGGCTGCTGGTAGCCAGTCCTCCACAAAGTGCTTTTCTTGCATTTTCAGGGAATGCTTCTCTGCAAAGCACAGCTTAAAGCCAGCTTTATCCTGCAGAGATCCACCACAGGAAGAAAGAACATACATTCCCTGCCCTTCCTAGAAGTAGCCATCTAGTGGGGCCACCACTGTAAGAAGATGGCAAAGGAACTGGGTCACGTTTTAGGACAGCAGCAAGGCATGCCCATCAGCACCTCTCTGCCGTCCCTTCTGTTGGCAAGTATAGGGTGGCTCTCATTTTTGGGATGTAACCAGGACCACTAAACTCTCTGGTCCTGTATCTTTAATGAAAGATGTGATTTTGTCCCACATTTGGGCCATCTGTCTTCTCCAGCCCAGGTATGTCAAATCTCCAAGCCTAACTGCGTGTTTTGAAGGCAGGAGATTCCAGACTGTGCAAAATATTAGTAGAAATCTGTTTTGTAGCTTTCCTGAAATAGATCCTTCTGCCTTTTTTGCTCAGTTTTTCCCTTTCAGGATTCTACATATGCAAAATGCAAAATCTGAGCCTCCTTAGACCCACAAATTCACTAGTTGTGAATTCTTTTCACACTTCATTTAATGGGAAAGTGTGATTTCACAATTACAATATCAAGCCTGGGAAACAGCCTAGAAAGTAACTTTTGAAAGTGTTCCCCTCCCTGTTAATAATTTAAAATGCTAATATTAATTATTTCTTGGGTCTCTGATTTAATTTTCTAGTGTCTGGGCCTACACTCATATTGATTTTTCTTTGCTGCAATATATTGGCTTCAGGGAAGTCATTTGTTACCATAGCCATTATCACTGGGTTCGTCTCTCTGTTATTCTGCTGCTGTTTTTTCGTTTTCTCCTTTTGGTTCTCTGCAGCTTACCTTTTCCCAGATGTTTTATGCCATGTATCAATGGGAATCACCTCTTTCTGTTGATCTCCAGTCCTGACTGCCCAGGGGACATAATGACCTGTAGAAAACTGAATGGAAAACTTAATGCAGTCTTTGGTCAAGGCTGGGTGTCCCCGGGTGTAGGATTTGTGTTTTAAAGGGAAGACACCAGGAATGAGAGGTGGGGCAAAGATCTGGAGTGCTGATAGCGTGTGCCCCTGCACGTCTCTGTTTGAGCATCCAGAGCTGCTGCTGTGGTCAGGGCTGCACGGCCTGGATCCCACTCTGCCGTGACCATGCAATGTCCTCTGCAAGTGCCCAGCTTTGCAGGGTTGGGACTGTGTGGTCTCTGCCTCTCTACAATGAGCTTCTTTCATGTGCTTAGACATTGTGTGGTAGCTGGTACAACAGCCAGTGAGGTGGAATTTGCATATGAGCAGGGAAAATATTCCAAGGATAATATGGGTGTTCCTTGCCCATAATCACTCCTTGCTGGGAGCAGCAATAGCAAAAGCTCTTACAAATGTACAGTCAGCCCAAGCCTGTGCAGTCAGTCTTCTTTTCCAGTTGTCTTCACATCCTCATCACCATGGCAGGCAAACAATTCTCTTCATTTAGCACAAAGTAATTGTACTCTCTTGGTTTGTAATCCAGAAACTTTCTGTAACTTCCATAAGGCCTTTGGGGTCTGTCGAGCCTTTGACATCTTGGACACAGTTGTCTTTCTGGGAGAGGTTTGCAACTGGGCTTGTCTGATAGCACTTCTGTCTGTCTAGACTGGTTTGAGAAGTCCTCAGCAGCCCTGGTGGAGTTCTTGCTATGCTGGCAAATTAACGTTGTTGTGATATCTAATGAAAAACCTGTGGGAACATGTTTAGTTTTATGCTGTGACTTGAGCAGTGGGAAGAAGTTATCTGTCTCTGCTCACCATCCCACCCTCCTCTCCAAATTCAGACTTGGAGACTAAGATTTTCAGATCAGAAAGCACTTGGTTTCCACAGGCTTGTCTTTTGGGTTTTCTAAGGGGCTTACCTTCAAAAAACCCTGGAAATACATCAGCAAAGAAAAAAATTAAATTTATTTCAGTAATCTTGACCAGAACTTGTAGTGGTGCAGTTTCCGTGCAGGTTTATACCCACTCAGGTGGAAAACAGATCAAAAATATGTAACAACACCGGAGATCCTCCAGGTTGGGCAGGCAGTGCCATGGGTTGCTCCAAATCTGTGTGCCAGCATGAAGAGGATGGAGGCAAGTTATTGCAGAGGCTGGAGATGAGGAGAGGCAGAGATTAGGGGCTTGTCCCTGTGGGATGGGAGCTGGGGAAGCACCAGCCTCACCTCCCTGCTCATTCTCCCCCTCCAAAAAAAACATTTCCACCATGAGGGTCAGCATCTCAGGCTGGCAGCAGGAGCAATTTTATGTGGTGGCCTTTGCCTGCTGCCTGCTCTCAGAAGGATGTACCCATGGCAGGCCTGGCAGATCCTTGTACTTGCCCGGCTTTATATCTCTGCTGAAATCAGGCAGAGATGAATGGCAGCTTAAAGTGACCTCAGAAAACCCCTCTGTGACACAAAGGTGCTGTGGAGTGTAATTAATGGGCCTAATCTACCCTTCCATTACTCAAGCAGATTTATTCCCTGTGTAAAATGTTGAGAACAGCACCGAGGAGTCTGGCCCATTAATTATAGATACCCCTCCAAACCCTGAGAGGAATCAAGTGGCCGTTCAAGCACCACTGGACATGGGTGAGCCCAGCTGACACCTAGCCCTGCCTTGTACCATGCAAAGGCAATCGGACACATGAGATCCCACTGAAACCGCAGGGAAATGTCTTGTCAATAGCTGAAATGGCAGACAATCAGCAAAACTCTTAGCTTTACGGTAAATAGCACAAAAAATGTTGATGGGCTGGGGGAAGCCATTCATCTCACCTGGTTTCTGAAGTCAACCATGCAGATGGCTACACTTGTATCAGCCACCCTTCCTATTCTTACTGGTAGCTGGAGAACAAAAGCACTTTTACTCCTGTTTCATCTCACCTGTGCAGCCATCAGTTTTAGGATGAGACACCTTGGGCCCAGGCTTATCTAATTATTTGGGCTGGGAGTAGTCTGCCTATAAGGGGAACCCCAGGTGCCTTTGACAGATATGTGTGACCACCAGGTGTACCCCAGGACTGCACTTTTACAGTGTGCTGCCTGTGACAATTATTTTGTGCAGGCAGGAAAAAGGTACATGGGTAGCTCTAAGGTTGGGGGAAAATGTAGGCCTTCTCTTCTTCCTGAGGGAAAATTGAAATAATTCACCTGATATGATTGAAGTTATAGCCACTTTGAATTGCGGGTGAATTCTGCTATCATACTGCTTCCGTTTTTCTCTCCCATGCAGAACATCTTCTTACATTACCATCATGAACTAGTTTAGTGATCGTACATGAGAAAGAAGCCGATTTTGTTGCATTGTTTTCATTAAATTTTCATTTTCTTGCATTTAAACAGATAAACCTGTTATTCACCAAACAGGTTAACATGGAGTTGATAAGAAAAACATCTTATTGCAACAAACTGGTATTGTAGTGCCCTACAAACATCTCATCTATGACTGCTAGCCTGTCCTGTAGGACCAAACACAGTCCACTAAGGAAGCTGCATGGCTGCAGGGAAGGAAATCCATATTCTCATTTCCACAGGTTTTCTTTGCTGATCTTGGGCAAGGAACAGAAGATTTGTCCTTGTCTCCTGCCTGCACCCAGCCAGAAGAACCTCGTGCTGTTCTTGTGGTATCATGATCATTTTGACAGCAAGAAACCAAGATATCACAAGCCTGGGATTATGAATTGAATGCAGGATAAAGAGAAATTGGGCTGGGAGGATATAAGCCTCTTATCCAGCACAAATAGCTGAAATAATAGAAAGGGGAATATAGAAAATAACTGTTCATGTAAATTGCTTTTTGCAGAAGTACTCTCTCGGTAAACTTTGCCCTAGGATGAAAAAGTACAAAAGATTGGAAAATGTACTTCGAAGAAAAGAAATAATCCTCCAGCTGCAGAGAGATGGACTAGATGGCCTGTTACTGCAGGTCTCTGGCTGAAGCTTACAACTCATACTACCTTGGTGCAGGGAAAGCCCCTGTATGAGCAGCTGTTCTTTGTAGCTTCTTGGATTTTGCTACAGCAAACAAAAATTAAATAATTGGTATGTATTTTATTAGGCTTGCTAGAAGGTCTCACTTAAGAGAAAACTGCATCTTCCCCACCTGTGATGGTCAAAGGGCAGTGCAGATGTCCACTGCCATCAGAAAACAAGCAGGGAGGAAGAAAATCAGGTTTTTATATTGGTCAGGGATCTTCATGCTGGTGTGTGTTAACAGATACTGCTGGAGACGTGGTATTGAATAGGCTGAAGTTTACAGGTTCTGGTTTATCCACACACAAACAAAAAAATAAGTACCAGATGAGTAGTCACGATCCCATCAGGTACCCTACCGTGCTGCTCTGCCCTGACTTTAGCATGCAGCTGAGTGACAGCAGTGACAATGTGCTGCCACAGGGATACCATTTATTTTAAATGTGGTGTGTTTTTTTTTAATCTTTATTTTTTTTCTTTCTCATGACCGAATTCATTGATTCAGCATGTTTTCTGCTCTGGACCCTGTTGTCATAGAAAAAAATTGCTTAACTGGCTCCTAGGAGAGCCCTCTTTCATGGGAAAGCACCCTCAGGTGATGTAGATCCTCATAGCTGCCCTCAGCTGTGCTTCTTGTCCTCCATCTCTTGCAGTGGAGATGACAATACACATCTTCAGCCTGAATATTTTCAGTTGTTTGAAGGGTCCTGCGGGCAAAAGAAGTGCTCTTGACAGCAGTACCCAGACTGCTGTATTTTGTGAACACCACTCCCCACCCCCAAAAGGTCCCTTCTGACTCCAGCCTGCTAGGTTTTATCCAGTGTGGTGCAGATGGGAACATCTGGCCTTAGTTGCTGCTCAGTGTGAAAGACGGGGTGTTTGGAAATCAAGCTGTCTTGTTTTGTTGGCAGTGTGCTGTCAGGACAGATCCTGCAAGAGGAGAAGCCACAGAAGTGAGCTCATATCAGATTCTCTGCAATCAGACAATACTGATCAGACAAAACTGAAAACCTTGCCTTGGAGATGGTTTAACCCTGCCACTGAATTGGTGCAGGTGCAACACTGTTCTTGATCCTAGCAGATCAGAATTATTCAAATCTGCAGAATTATTTCAAATCTGCTGGGAAATGCCCTTATAGTCAATGAAGAGATTTCAGCCTATACTCAGTGCAGTGCTGAGCAAGGTGCCAAATGCCCTCCACTTCAGTGATCCTAATGAGAGCGCAGGGTAGAGAACACATTGCTGGATCAATGTACAGGAACAGCAGAGGATTGCAAGGGCTGCACATTGTTTAACTGAATGACAGATGAAAGGCTAAATACATAAAGATTTATAACATTCCATTTTTGCCAAATCAAGGTAAATACAGGAATGGAAGGGAAATGAGGCGGTAGGCACAGGCTTTTGCTCCTAAAGTGTTGTAACATCAGCATCAGAGTTTGAAGACAGCTATTCTTCAAGGAGGTTTGAGCAAAAGGTGTCATGTAAAATTTAGCTGTCTGGTTGTGTCCTGTGATGGCTGGGTTTGGCAAGTTGTGTTGGTTATTTGGTCTGCACCCGTTAATGCCCTAGCTTCAGTCTAATTAAGTGGTCAAGCTAGCCTAGACTTCATTAGGTATCTCCAAAGATGGTTCAGCTCTTCAGCATCTCCTGGGCTGCCAGACTGGCTCTACCCTCTACAAACATCCTAGGAAACTCCAGTTTAAGCACCTCAGGGAGGTACCTGACATCAGGCTGGATGAATCTGATCCTTGGTGCCTTATAATGGCATAACCAGAGTTGGTGGCTTTAGGAAGGCATTAAAAGTGAGAAAGCCTATGAAAGCATGATGTACTGGCATTAGGGTAAATGCTTAACATCATTATGCTAAAGGATTTGGGGTTTCTTTGAGTGCATCTGTCATTTGATTCCTAACCTCAAAGACTGAAAAAGCAACCTGCTTCCAGAGACGGGATGGTCGGTGTCACTGGAAAGCAGATCCCTTTTCCAGGGGATCCAGATGGACATAAAAATCTGCCATCGCTTTTGAAGACTGAATTAGTCTTTAGTTTGCTTTTACTTAAACTGAAAGCATCACGTTGGCAACCAGGAGGACTGGATATTATTAGTAACCTTTTACAGGAAACATGGTGTGTCATGGGTTGAGGATATATTGTTTTTTTCTAGAAAATGCAGTGCACAGTGAAATGGGGGGAATAAGTAAACATAAAGTGCTTATACAGCAGTTCACTCTATTTGAACACCCAGCATACACCTCCGAGGTTACCCGCTCATAAAGGAAAGGGGGAATGATATTTGAGACTTTATTTTTGGCTAAAAGCATGAAGTGCAAATAGCTCTTTGTACAAAATGTCAGCTGCATTTCTGAGAAGCAATCAACATTGCCTTGATAAGCTGTGGTAAATAACAACAGTAAGTATGTTACCACCTATTATACACACCTGTAAGTGTATCTGGATAGACTTCTGTAACTGTAGTTTGACATCTGAAATAAATACGAAAAAGTAAAACAAGGCATTTCAAACAAATAATTTTTCTCACAGCAGAACTAAGTATAGGAGGAAATTCAGCTTCAAATAGCAAAATTTATATGCCTACATGGAGGTGTTTACGTACAGGGAGGGGGGGAGTGCAAGCTACCACTGTGGTCTGGAGATCTCAGACTTGGCTCAGTTTTGTTTAGTGCCACTGGGGATGCTGTAGGGTGTCCATCCTGGCCTTCAACTAGATGCAGTTCACCCAGTAATAGTGTGTAGCATCAGCCCAAGTTACCTTCTGCCTAAATTACCTCAGGATGATTTGGGCATGCTGGGGTCAGCTGGCACTAGATGGCTGCCTACTGGCAGCTGCACACAGCCCCTAATGGGGTCACCTGTATTTGTTCTGGCTTTGTTGATTATCCTGTGAACCTCTTCTGATTGAGACGGGGCTTACATGCCCATTCGAGTGCAAGTTTTGGTGGTTGTGGCTGGAGGGAGCTGCTGTCCTTGAAGCATGTGTCAGTTCCCTAACCACCATCAGTCTGGTGCCTGCTGTGGTGCCCTGTCATGCCCTGCTTGGATGTTAGCTGCAGATATAGGGGTACACACATCTCCTGTAGGTATGGTGCTGATGTCGCAGCCTCAAACATCAACAAACACCTCTAAAGTAACTGAATTAAAACTATACAGTCCAGAAGACTTCTGTTCTGCATTTCTCTGTCTCCTTCCATCCTCCTGCTCCTCCACGTGTCCCTAGGCTGGGAAGGAGACACATTCCAACCTCTGCCTACACTGATGGCCTGGGCAGTGTCTCTTTCTGCACAGGTGCTTATTTTCAGGATGCTTGTATCAATCTGGTTATCTCTGAGACCTCATCCCTCTATCAAATTTGCTTGCAAATGGCTAAAGTGATTCTGCCAGAAACTTTTGTTTGTTGATGGTCTCCCACCTGCTTGGCAATATATCCAGTGCCCGGGTTGTGAACCACCTACTGGAGAACATCGCTTGGGCACCTCTGAATGGGATGTGAGATGAACGACTGATTTCACGAGACAACCACAACGACAAGAGGAGACCCATGCAAGCTCTCAGTGACACTCCAATATGATGGACCAGCTAAGAAACAATTAGCTTTAATCTCACTTTATTTCTGAGCAGGGCTGTGCTCAGTAAAGCACTGCTGTATTCAGTAGTTCGTAATGGACACGGGCATCTGCAGTGCTGCTGACTGCTTTCGTTTATAATCACGGTGATTGCAACGAGTACGTTATGAAACAGGACTGACAGGACACTTGAAATAAAATGTCACCAGAGTGATTAAGACCAGGGCAGTTCACAAAATTCCAGCTCATGTGTTCTGAATATTTGAAGGAAATAGCTGGTGAGTAGGGGGAGACGGGGAACGACAAGACACAGCAAAAGCTTCTGGCTGTTTTGTAAGGCTCTGTTAAATATAAATACTTTTTATACTGTTTATTGTAGGCTAGCAGACTTTATCAATTTAAAATATAATGAGAAAGGCAGAAGCCAGGGGACTTGCAAGTACTTCTTGTAGCATTAAGAGATAACAGAGACAATATCTTCACAAAATCTCTTTTATTGCTACAAGGGCAGAAGTGTTGCAACACTGAACTCTCCCTTGCATTGCTGGCATCCATCAGCCTTGTTCAGGCAGCGGCTGAGTTGATAGCAGGCAGTTTGGTCCTAGGTTATTTTGGGTGGGTATGTTTTAGCTGATATTGGTTTGAGTCACCTCTGCACCATTTCCATCATCCCAAGCATCTCCCTCTGGTGTGAGCTTCTTCTCCTTGTCAGTTTGGCATGCAAGCCATGCTTCAGTCCTTCTTAGACCACAAACAGGTACAACGTCACATGCAGCAGCTGGTGATCACCTGCAAGATGTATCATGGGGAATGGCCTTCAAGGAAGAAATTGGTTTTATTTCTTGGATATAATTAAATTTAGTGGGAAGAAAAATCAACACACTAGATGGGGGGAAAAAAAAAAAAAGTATCTTAAAATATCAAATATATTACTGAAATCTGCAGTTGTACATAATCTTGAAGTTCTCTGCAAGCCCAGGTAGATAGTTGTGAAGTTGCAGAAGAGGAAACCAACTTGCAGTCTCTGGTTCAGTCTCGATCTTACATACACCTGTGAATATCTTCAAATATTTTTCTCCTGATTGGTAGCAGCATTTCCAGGACCAGGCCTGCTTGCGGGGTGAGCCCTGTTCAGTTTTAGCCACATTAATCCAGGGTGTGATGGCTCCTTTTTCCTGCAGGGCAAATGTTTTGAAACTCTATGTTCTCTTAGGTATTTATTCACTGTCACAGTAAGATTTCTTTGGCCAAGAGGCTATTTAAATCTAGAGTACCCATGAAAATACATACAAATATTTAGAAAAGTTTCCAAATATACTATTAGGGTGAAATGCCATGCATACATATATCATAATGTACTATGAAATGTAAGTAACAATATTCACACTGAGCAAAATCTGTCCTATACACTTATATATATATATATATGTATATATATTTTTTGCACATGTAAGCAGTACAGTTCTGGATGTCAGTAATTGTTGCAATTAGTGATTTTCACCAAGATGAAATACTAGCAATGACAGGAAATTCATTATTCATTCATATCAGCTTATAAGAATATTTACACTACAGAGCTTCCAATGAAAATTTTATCCCATATTCTGTTTCTCAGCTTTTCCTTTTTTTTTTTTTTTTTTTTTTTGTGTGTGTGTGTGTGTGTGTGTGTTTTGTGATGCTGGAGGGAGAAAGGGAATATCAGTGTGGGTACTTGTCCATACTAAACTTCTGTACCTGAAATTAATGTTTTTGGAAAAGTCTGCAGGCCTCCATTCCCAGTGAAACCACCCATAATTAAAGGCAATCCCACAAATGCTGATGATGTTAGTGCAGCACAGAGACAAGACTCAGATCCTCACACTTCCAAGACCAAAATTTGCCCTCCACGTTCAAGAGTCACTAATTTCCTTTTCACTTTATTTGTTTCAGGTGCTCAACCTGTTCCTTGCCTTGCTGCTGAGCTCTTTCAGCGCTGACAACCTTTCGGCACCAGATGAGGATGGAGAGATGAACAACCTGCAGCTTGCTTTTGCTCGGATCAACAGGGGTCTTCAGTACGTGAAACGCACGACGTGGGATTTTTGCTGCAATGTCCTCCGGCATCCCAAGACCACAGCTGAAAAGAAGGCAATGATGAAGCTTGCTGCCCAGAATACAGGTGCCCTGAACAACTGCGTGAACAGTCACACAACTGCTGAGTTTGGCAAAGACATGGAGAATCACAAAGAGAACCACACTGAGGATGGGATGAATAAAAATGGGGATAAACACCTGGGAATTACAGATAATGATGATTTCATGACCAATCCTGACCTGTCCATTTGTGTTCCTATTGCTGTGGGAGAGTCTGATATTGAGGAGGAAGATGAGGAGCAGAGCACGTTTACAGAAATGGAGCAGGTAGGCAATGAAAATGTTTGTTAGCTGCATCTTATTAAGATGGCTTTTGTTCCCACCCTTGCTCTGGATCCATGGCTCATAATGCAAATGTGCTATAGCCTAATCCTGCCTTTGATATGTTGTTAACTTTAGAGGAAGTTACACCTGCATATCCAAGAGCAAAATTCAGTCTCCAACAAGAGGCATTCCCTTCCTTTGCATTATTTGTGCTTGTTGATATTAATTCTTCTAACAAGAGCAATTAAACCCTTTCTCACACAGGAGCCTGTTTTTCTTTCAGCTGAATCATGGGAATAGTACAGAACAAACCTTAAGTTCCTCTGACTCTGACAGGGCATTTTCTTGGTGTACAGTACTGGGGAATGGCTTGGTTTGATTTGGGTAACAGGAATCCAGGGCCAGATATTTCTGTTAAATAAATCTAGGCAGAGTCTGGTAAGACATTGTGCCAGAAGAAGTGAGAAGATACGGAGTCATATGTATCCAGACAGGGAAAAAAAAGTTATTTACCTGTTCTTTGGTGTTCTCACATTTTATCGTTCCCAAGAGCTCTCAGTAATAATGGCGAAAACTTGTGTGTGGTTTGAAATGTTGGTGTAAAATGGAGAAGAAAAATCTTTATGGGAATGGTTTTCCTTCTGTCCTCCCCCCTTAACATATATAGTTAATGTGGATCCCTTACTCCTGTGGTGTCAGTGAAGATGTGTGACATTCAGCAGGCTCTGGATCAAAGCTCTCGTTTCAGATTGAGTTGTCAGGAGGAATCCCCCATCTCCTGGTCGAAGGGAAGAAAGATCTGAAGTACAGGAGTCCTTAGAGAAGGGATGTCCTAAAAAAAAAAGCCCTGAGGAAGGACTCTGTGCCAGGGAGGCAGGCACAAATAGGCTGTTAAATGTTAATTTCTGCTACTTCACTGAGGAAATCTCTTGGGTGCTGGTGCATCTGCTCACCAGCAGGTCTTAGGCATTGAGGGAGCGTGAGGGCAAGGGGTCGGAAAACTCTATCGGCAAGCCCCACTGTCTGAACAGACTTCTAGGGAGAAATTTAAAAAAAAAAAAAAAAAGTATGAAAATTTTGGCAAACAATTTTAGGGACTATTTCGTATCTTTTTTTTTTTTTTTTTTAAAAAAAGGAATACATTTATGAAAATGATCTGTGGATCAGTGTTGGTGGCACATGATAACCCACAAAGCTGACTACGTCATTGGGGCTTTTTGTGGGGTAGCTGTATGCTCAGTGAGTGACAAGTTTCCAGTGAGGTCCTGTCCATTGCTTCCCTCTTCTCACCGAACATAAAGCAGGACTTCCTAAAATCATTTGGGGCATGAGTTGGATTAATTCTAGGGATAATATATGTTTTTTCTTTGAAGCCTTTTCCTATTCCCAGGATTGTATTAGTTAAACCTACAAGAGGAGAACACTTGAAAAGTGAAATATACAGTAGAATTAGCTAATCTGCCAATACTGACTAAGATAAATATGTATCATAGCATGTAAGTGTGTTTAATTCAGGATTTTTTTTGTTTGACCTTTTTTTATACACACATTTCTACTACATCTGGCAGAGGGTCACAATTGTAAAAATTCTCACCCTTTTAATTACAAGGCAGAGAAAAGTTTGTTGCAACTTTGCACGTAAGTGTCCGTGGGGGCTGGAAGCATGAGTGTGTTCATCTGCACACACATGTGTATGGTGTGTCACTGCACCCCACCTTGCTCAAGGTAAACAAGTGGTCACAATTGCAAGCTAAACTGTAGCATGGAGCATGGACGATTTGGG